TGAAGGCTACATATATACCATCTCAGATAAGCAATTTTTAAGGTAAAACAATATGTTTCCAATATGTTATAAGGTAAAACAATATGTTTTCTCCTGATATCTGTATCCTTCAATACTTTCCTTATTTTGTATCTTCATGGTAATGATTTGTCGGGGGTGCATCCCCGCCTGAGAGCCCTGCACCCCTGGTCCTGGATCCGCCCCCGCGTATCTCTATTAAACGACAAAGCCAGAAGTAAACTATCGAGGTACTGGTTGTTGAAAGACCGTGAGCGACATTTCTATTTTTTCGAGATTCTTTTCGAAATTATTTATCTCGATCTATTATTTTAATTTCTCTTTTTATGAGTTGAATCTCTATGTTCTTTATAACAACAAATGTTCTTTCGTAACACCYCTCCCTTTGTGACCCAAATCTCGACTGAACACCATAAGCTTTTGAAAGTTACTCAGAAAGCTTTCCTTTTACACTGGAAAAAATCACGCGCTCTAAAGGTTGTAAATTTGATGTAAATATAATGTAAGTGTCCAAAATACACCTTTTCAGTTGCTCTTAGGCCTCGACAGCGTGTTAAATTTTCTTTTTTCAACATTGATATGAATAGTCTCATTTGTCAAGTTCAAAAGAATAATTAACTTGCTATCGAGGCCTAAGTGCAACTGAAAAGGTGTATTCTGTAAATTTGATGTAAATGATTTCCATTAAATTTACAGAACTTTGGACACTTACATCATATTTACATCAAATTTACAACCTTCGAAGCGCGCGTTTTTTTCCAGTGTTTAGTAAGAGCTGTCGCTTTCTCTTCGTTCCTCGTATCTTCCAAATCGTTCTTTAATTCTTGACGATCTTTAATTTTTCAGGTGGGCTAATGACAGTATTCGTACGTACGACTGGCGATGGTCACATATCAATCCAAAGACGAACCGCACCTATGGCTCAGACGACATAAAAATGAACTCAAAATACAAAGGCTACTCGTTGGGACTGAAAGGCTTAGCTTTCGTGCCCAGTCTCCTTTGCTTCTGTTTGTTTGGCTACCTTTTATGGCTGTTTAGCAAGGAGGAGAATGGTGACGAGGCACTTATAAGGAGATATCGTTGTGATGTCAGAAGGGAAAGGCAACGTAAAAGAGTTAGAAGAAAGAGACGGAGAGCTGAGAGGTTGAAAAGAAAATCAGAAAACTCTGTAAGTTACATGTTTGGAATGATCTTTCGCATTTCAGCACAGCAGACCGCTTCAGAGCATGCGCACTATAGATAGCCTTAGTAGCGAGCTTTGAGGGATGAGCATTTCGAACACCAACAAATTTCATGAGCACAATCCGTCATTCTGTGATGCGGCAATTGTTGATACATGTATTAACTGTATTAGTAGTAAGGGATGTTAATTGGGAGCTACAACCYAAGTCAATACTATGCGGTCAGCGGTGTGCGGTCTCAACCTTGTTGCTAGGCAACAGTTTGAGCCCGCGGTACCAACCGGAAGTGACAWCGTCCTTACTACTTGTATTATCTGCTGGTGTTAAAGACGGTTTCTATCCTTGCACGCTCACTTGTCGTCTCCCTTTCAATGCGAGGGCGCGTCTGCATTTCAAGATTGTGCACCAAACTGTGGAAGAGAGAATGTGGTGACTTTACGTCGCAGAAGACTTAAMTGAAATGAGCGCATCAGTTTTATATTGACTAGATCAATCACATGACCTAGCAAAGCTCTGATTGGTCCATTAGCTTATGAATTATTAATGTATTTTTATAGGACAATATGCAAAACACTACCGTYGTCAACCTCGCTGTCAACCAATCAGATAGGCAGAAAGAAAAGACTGACATGTTRGACGCGGCGTTCTTTCTAGACGACGCCGAAGAMGAAGAACAGAAAGAAGACGAAAACACAGCCGAAGCCCAACCAATCAAACCAAAGAAAGACTTCAAGTACTATTTACGTCATCCCTATTTTCGGCTGTTTACGTCATACTTTGTGGTGTTTTGTAACTTTCTKATATTTGCYGAGGACCCAGTCTCTCACAGTTGYTCGGACTGCATCGTAGATATCATTGGTAACATTTATTCGTTTATTGGCGCGAGGTTAGTRGGCGAGTTTCTTTGCAAATAAACCTAATCTAAAACATTGTTTTCCAGTGGAAAAAGTTGACATTATCGAACCTAGACCGAAGAGGATTTTGGATATCTTATAAATCGACTTTTGAAAGTCAACCTTTTCCATGCTCCCAGACCGTTCCCGTAAAAGATTTGRTGGTATGAGGCTTCTTGAATGCGAAGACTATTTTCATTTAGTTTTATAACGACAACGGCGCGMGTGTGTGGGAGTTGAAAAACAAGAGAAAAGCAAGTTTAGAAACACGAGCGTAGCGAGTGTTTYTCTTGCTTCTCGAGTGCTTTTCAACTCCCAACGTGTTTTTTATCAGAGGACAGAGACACAAAAGCCCGCTTTATAGTTCTTCTATAAAATGTTTCTGCGTTTTTCGAGCTAAACAAAAAAAATTACCGGTAAGCCGTGTCTCTGTCCTCTGATATAAACACGGTCGTCAGCCAATGATCAGAGCGCGTGTTATATATATCAAAAATTTCATAATCTCACAGATATCCTCCACATCTTGGCTACTGTGTTCTCAAAGTTTTCATGTTCGTTCTCTCCGTTATCAGTGGGATTATTGTTGGGAAATTCTTCTTTCATCGATGGCTTTTCTGCCGAGTATGGAAAATCAAGATTTTCTCAGAAGATGGTCAGGTTGGTGAAACTATTTATAATTAAGAAATATAAAACGGCGCGCGTGTCTCTGTCCTCTGATATAAACACATATAAACATATATAACATTGCGCCACTGGAACGGACCGATCAAAAAGCTTGTAGCTGCTGAAAGTGTTTTTCCCAATTTCTTATAMAAACATTACGCCATATTTGGTTATAATCACCACTTTTCTTAAAGATCTTTCGCGGCAAATCGTGGAGGTATTTGATAATCCAATAGGTGTACAAACGAAAACTTACCAACAGCGATAGCTTCTAATAACATTCAATATTGCAACCGAAAAAAACGTTATGGGTTTAATTAAATAGTTAAGCAGATATATTTGACCTGCACGTGTGCAGATGGTGGCAAATATCCTGTAATTAAGCATCCATGCAATAAACGCCACAGCGGTCATCTGGATGAACTTCAACAAAGGATTTCTTATGTAGTATATATTGTTCATTTATGCAACGTGGTCTTCGGTCTTTTGTCTTTTGAATTGCATGTGAATGATTGAAAACGAGCAATTGGTARAATTTCAGGTGAGGTCGGTGAGGTTTTGCAATGTTGCTCGTTTGACAACTTATAGCAATAATTTCTTTTTGTTATTTTCTTTGATGGTCCAACTTAAACAAATAACATGACAGACAAGTTTCAAGAACATAAGCCGTTTATAGTGCAAGAAATCTTTACAAGTTGTACCTGTATCTGCTCAATCATCTGTCTTGCAAAGTGGTAATTTTGAATAAGAAAAAAAGTCTTGCAAAGTGGTAACTTTGAATAAGAAAAAAAGCTAACAGACAACGAAGGAAATGTGACCAGTGAAAACAGTGCTGTATGGGAATAAACACAAAGTCTGTCTCAAGAAACTCGAATACTTTGTATCAAAAGTATCATGAACGCGTCCAACCTCAGCCAAGTAAACGACTACTGTAAGTACAGCGAACCAGAGTCAGCAATTGAAAAAAACAGTAAAACTGATGACATGTTTGGTTCTTGGTGGATTTGGTATTCTTGGCAACGTTTTTGTCATCTTGCTGGCTGTAAAGTATACTGTAACAAAGAGACTGCACTTTTTGATCATCAACTTGGCCATTGCAGATACCCTTGTCGTCTTAATAAACATATGCAGCTTCGTGATTTTCAGATTCCTTACTCAAAACCTTTGGAATGACCTTCACGAAGCCATTGCTCAGACGCTTTGCAAAGCATTGTATTTTTTGTTTTATGTATGTCCTACAGAATCTCTTGTAACCCTACTAATCATCACCATTGAAAGATATAGAATCACCAGACGAACGTGCCAGTTGTCGCAACCGTTATCTGGGAAACAGCGCTTGACAGTTATTGCTCTTTGTTGGTTGGTCGCCTTTTTGATTCATTCATTCTTACCTATTTCCGTTGAAGTCAAAGAAATGAATAATTCAGCGCTAGTTTGTCTTATTGTCGAAAACGGAACTCTATTACAG